ATTATTTCTGATTTCATTTTTCCCAGATCCTCTTTTGTTGCCAGTTCAGAGAGTCCAGGTGGTTGAGTATCAGAGTGTTCCATCTTGTTTCCCTTTGGGGTTGCTGTAGGTGATCTGGAAGTCTGTTTTTGAGGCTTTGTATGTGTCTTCTCATTTCCACGGTGGGGGGGGGGGTTGCTTCTGGCTCCCACGTGGCTCACCTTCTGTGCCCTAGGAGCTTGGGATGGCAGCAGGGGGGCTTCCTTCTGGGTGCTGGGACTGGCTGAGCTTCACTGCCCATTCTTGTTAAACTTAATTGTTGAGATTTAACATTCACTGCGTGCCCATCAGTGTGGATACTTTGATGCATAAATGTCATTTGGTACTAATACTGGATCCCATAAAAAAAAAAAATGCAGGCCTAATTGGACCTTTCCCATAGATAGATCTTGCAGGTCTTGGAATTACAAATGTATCTTTTAGCTACCTACACACTTGGCATATTAAATTATCTGTAGACTTTTCCAGAATGTAATAGAACAAAGTGTTGTGCCCAGATCGCGAAGTCCCCAAAGACCACCAAGGAGCCGATTCCGATGTAAACACACGAGGGTTGTTTATTCAAGCTCGAGCAGGGGCACTCAACCGTCACCGACACAGCAGATCAGGATTGAGAGCCCCGAATTTCAAATCAGCAGGGTTTTTATTGTGACTACAGCAAGGTTTAAGGATTTTCCATTTAGCAGTTACATGATTGGTTGATATTTAGCAAGCATGGGGTGTACATGGGGGGGCGGTTGAGGGGTGGCTACATGTAGATTTTATGGGAAAAAGGAACAATCAGCACATTGACAGAATGTTCTATAGATAATGGGCCCGGGAGCATCTGTTTTCTGGGCAGACAGAGGATTGAGTTAGAAGCTGTGTCCTTTTTTTATCTGTTGTCCCACAGCAAGGACATTTTATCATTATTTTATGGGCACAAAGGAGACTAGGGGAATAGTTGACTTCAGTGAAGTGGAATTTATGTCAAGGCCACTTTACTGTCTTATTCCAAGATGGAGTCAAATTTTAAAATGGAGTTAGTTAGGTCTCACAAAAGCAAAGCCATAATCCTGCCAAGGATCATGTGTCACATGTGTCATTATGTGTCACATGTGTGAGATTGTTGTGGCTGGTAGAGCAAACATGGTAGCATGTTGGTCTAGCATTTCTGTGAGATGCTGACCTGTGTGCACTCCACAAAATGAACATGCCAACTCCATGCCTCACTGAACTGAATTTACTGATCCAGTGGTGAAATGGCATACAGTCATAAGGACAGGGAAACATGGTATGATTTGTCCAAATACGAGTACCTATATC